ACCCAGGGACCCTTGGAGGTGACCCCGAGGAGAGATTTTAAGTTTGATTAAGTCCAAATAGCTTGAGTTTATTAGGCCCTTACACCAACAAATTGTACCCCTATAGTGCCTTCCCTGCTACACTATAGTTAACCAAACAAAACAGTACAATTTCGAGTTGGATAGAACTGAATCTGCGCAATCAACTCAACCGAACTGCAAAGCTTCCATCTTGGGTTCCTTTGCGAGCTCGTCCTTTCTGCTTGCACTGTTCATAGCGCGTACAATGTTGTGCCGAAGCGCACATTGCGCGAGTACCTGCAAATGCATCAAGCGAAAATTGCGAAAGCAAACAAACACACGAACATTCCATTCACACACAAATGCATTCGCACACGCAGACGGCAGGATGTCGTGCAATGTGCATTTGCACCCAACATACTCCCCCTCAGCCTGCCGGCTGCATCTCCATCATTCCATGCTAGTTCATGCTCATTCCACTCATGTGCACACAACGCCAATGAGGCTCATCCGCAAGCCTCTTGGTGAGAAAGTCTGCTGGCTGTTGGTGAGTCTTGATGTAGATCGGATTCACTGTCCCTCTCTTCACCTCCTTACGCAGCCAGTGCCACTTGATACGCATGTGCTTGTTCAGCCCATGAAGCACAGCGTTTCTGGCCATCCCAAGAGCCCCCTTGCTATCACAAAACAGCGGCGTAGCAACTTTCTGCTCCTGGCCAATCTCCTCTAACAGCCTCCTCAGCCAAATCACCTCCTTCACCCCATGAAACATTGCCATGTACTCTGATTCCACGGAAGAGAGTGCCCCCAACTACGCAGATGTATCCTCCCACAGATGAAGAATCTTCCTTCTTAGAAGCCCAGATAGCATCAGTAAAGCAAGTGAGAAAGAGCTTGCCTTCTCCAAGCCTCTCCCCCTTCTCTTTCAGCACCTCCACCCCTTTCTGCTTCACCTGTGCAGATGCGGAGTATTGAACTCCAATGGTTGGGTGAGAGTTTAGGTACTTCACCACACGCTCAGCTGCATCCACCTGCTCCTCTGATGGATTCTGCACCACCCTAGCCAGCTGCCCAACCGAGAAAGAGATGTCGGGCCTCGTGTGAACTGCTGCGTACAAGAGGCTGCCCACCAAGGACTGAAATTGCTGCTGCTCCTCGGCTTCAACCCCTTCATCCTCTGCAGCCTTCACAAGCTTGAATTCTGCTGGCAGGGGAGTTGCAACCTTGCGCTCATTCTCAATCCCATACTTCTCCCCCAGCTCCTTGATGAACTTCTCCTGGTGCAGCTTCAACCACCTGTGATCAGGATCCCTCTCCACGTGCATCCCGAGGTAGTACTTTACCTCCCCAAGGTTCTTGCACTTGAAGTTTTCCATCAGTTGCTGCTGCACTTTCTGGATCTCCTTCATGCTGCTGCTGAAGAGAAGAATGTCGTCCACATAGACCAGAAACAGCACCAGCTTCTCCCCCTCGCCCTTGAGAAAGAGGCTCTCATCACAGCTGCTGGTCCTGAATCCCATCTCCTCTAAAACAGCTGCCAACTTCTGGTACCAACAGCGTGGCGCCTGCTTCAAGCCGTAGATGGACTTGTTGAGCTTGCACACCCTGCCCGTACCATCCTCATACCCAGGCGGCTGCGTCATGTACACATCCTCCTCTAAAATCCCATTCAGGAATGCCGTTGAAATATCCATCTGAATGATGAATTTCCCACTAACGGCTGCATCTGCCAACAAGACACGGAGGGTAGGGGGTTTGGCAGTGGGAGCAAAGATCTCGTTGAAGTCCTGCTTCTCCTTCTGCATAAACCCCTTAGCCACCAACCTACTCTTGTAGATGGTGACCTGCCCCTTGTCGTCAGTCTTGATCCTTAGCACCCACTTGCATTGTACCGCTTTCTTTCCCTCAGGCAGCACCACTAGTTCCCAAGTCCCATTCTCTAGCAGGCTCTGGTACTCAGCATCCCTAGAAGCCAGCCACTTGTCCCTATCTGGTCCAGCTAATGCCTCCTCCATGCTAGCTGGTTCCTCTGGTGCAGGGGCAAGAAAACAGTACGCAGGCTCATCCTCCTCATCCGGGTCATAGCCATGCGGTAGAATCAGCAATGCCTCCTCGGTCCCTAGCTGCTGCTCTGCTGCATCAGTTTCTGCAGTCAGCTTCTTAGTAGCCATACGGGTACGTCCTGGCCTGGAGACGGGTGTCTCCCATCCCTTCATAACGACACCCTTCGGCTTCTTAGTTTTCCCCTGCTGCTGCTCTCCTCCCTTGGATCCAGCAGCTTCACTAGTGCTGCCGCCACTTTCCACACCATTTTCTCCACCAGCAGGTGCCTCCTGTACCTTCTCTCCATCACCATTTCCCGCAGCTGCCTTCTCTCCCTCCTCCCACACACTAGGAGTCAGGTCCAGCTGCATGGTGATCTGCTCCATCTGCTGGGACACCCGGGCCTCCGGCTGTTTCTCCCAGCTCCCATACATCATGCCCTCAATGAATTTCACATCCCTGCTGTCAAACAACACACCCTTGGATGGTTCCCACAGCAGCCATCCCTTGCTCTCAGCAGCCAGCCCCAAATGCACACACCAGATTGCACTCGCCCCCAACTTACTGCGGTAGGTCTTGGGGACGTGGGCGACTGCCATGCAACCGAACACCTTCAGCATGTCCACCGGCGGCTTCCTCCCAAGCCACCTCTCCAACGGCACCCACGAGTCATCCCCAACCTTAGTGAGCACCCTGTTCCTAGCGACGGTGGCGTGCCGGACAGCATGAGGCCACATAGAATTGCTCAGCCCAGATTCTATGAGCAGCGCCCTAGCTGTCTCCAGAATTGTCCGGTTCGCCCGTTCTGCTACGCCGTTCGACTGTGGGGTGTAAGCCGTGGTCAGCTCCCTCTGGATGCCCTGCTTCTTGAGCCAAGCCGTCATCTCAGCTCCAAGGAACTCACCACCCCGGTCTGTCCTAATCCGCTTCACCACACACTCCGCTTGCTTCTCCACGAATGGCAGCCAATCGTCCCGAATCGTGGAGGCGGCGTGATCTTTCTGTTTCAGCGGATACATCCACATAAGCCTACTCCAGTCATCCACTATGGTTAGGAAATACCGCTCCCCCTTGTGCCCTTGCACCGGCAGCGGCCCCACCAAGTCCATGTGGACTAGCTCCAACGGCTTTTTGCTCCTGCCAGCGACACTATGGAAGGGGAAACGGGTAAACTTTGAGAGCAAACAGATTTCACAATTTTCATCAGGTGGCTGTCCATTCAGCTTCAGCCCCTTAACGGCTCCATCCTTCTCCAATTGTTTCAACAAGGGCATTGCTACATGCCCCAAGCGTCGGTGTGCTGTTGCCCAATCCGTCTCCCCAGATCTGGCCGACACTTTCACACCAACCCCTCCAACAGCGTTGCACTCCCCCTGGGATGCAGACCCCTCTCCAGCCTGCTTCCCGCCGTGCCACGCCAGCACCGGCAGCTGCCACATAGATCTGTACACGTCTTTGCTCTCGTGCAGATCCCAAAGCACCCGGTTTCCTAGCTGCCCCTTGTACGTGCGTGCCCCATCCGTACTAGTGCTCACCCCAGCCTTGGCAAGCTTACGGAGGGAGATGAGGTTGGCCTTGAGTTCAGGAACGAGAAGAACGTCGTGCAGCACCACCGGCTTGCCATCCGCTCCCTTGAACGCAGCTCGTCCCGCACCAGCCACCTTCAGCGCGTGTCCAGAGGCGGAGCACACCTCATTGATCGGTGCAGCGCGCACGTCGTCCAGCAGGTCCTTGCGCGGCGTCATCGTCCATGCAGCGCCCGTGTCCAACACCCAATAGTCCAGGGGGTGCAGCTCTGCTCCAACCTTGGCAGATGCGTCTCCTTGCTCCCCCTTGTCTCCCACATGGAAGAATTGGCCCGCGGTGCGCTCCTTCTTCTCCGCACCACCGTTGCCCTTCGGGTTGTTGTCGGACGAATCAGCGACCATGTTGGCGCCATTTTTCTGGTTCCTCCGCGCGCCGCCATCCTGGTGACGATTCTGGGGGGTCCATCCATCGGGTTTCTTATAGCACAAAAACCAGGGGTGCCCTTCCTTCTCACAATACCAGCAACTCCCTTTCATTTTGCCACCAGCACCCGATTTGCCCCCACGTCCAGATTTCGCACCGCGACCCCAACCGATACCTCCTTGTTGGTCGTTGGAGTCGTCGTCTTTCTTTGCACCGCGTCCAGCACCACCGAAGCCACGTCCTCTGCCACGTCGGCTCCCTTGCATCCCATAGCCGCTGCTGCCGTCGTCTCCACCCCTCAGTTGGCGGCGACGAAAGTCCTCCTCCAGAATCTTTGTCCGCACCCACTCGAGTGTCCACGAGCTCTGGTTCTGCGGCAGGCTCAATCCGCTCGTGAATTGAAGCCACGATTCAGGCAGCAGCGAGAGCATCTTCAAGCACTTGGTCTGCTCCGGGTAGGTGATTCCCGCGGTCGCCAACTTCGCGTAGAGGTCGCGCATCTTGTCCAGGACAGGTTGCACCGGCTCTCCCTCGCTCAGGCGCAACGCGGACAGCTCCCTCTCCAGCATCAACGTTGCGACAACGGAGGTCGGGGCGTGCAGCTCCTTCAACACGGTCCACGCCTTCGGACCGCATTGTCAGAAGAACTGAACGAGGAATGGTGAACTAGAAAGGATTGTGAGTACAAATATGAAACCCTAATGTGGTGACCCCCCTATAGGCTAACCCACTACAGCCTACACAAACACAACATATATAATGTTTGACACACCCCCATAGGCAAAGTGGGGGAGACCTAGGGGTCACAAGACCAGTCAAGGCAAAGCAAGGCAACAACAAGCTCAGGGTGGATCTCAAGGATACCACACAAATTCCGAGCACAAGCTAGTGGTCACAAGACCAGTTCACATGCAGGTTTATAACAGAGCATGAGATACAGTGATCACAACCTAGCAAGAGTAAACATGCAGGTAGATATATATATAGTGATCACAGTACAAGCAAGGTCAAGAGGTAAGTAAGTGAGGTCCAGTAGGCACAAGGCCTAGCAGAGTGCAGAAGCGCTGATGGTCACAAGGCGGAAGCGCCTTGGTGAACACATCAGCAAGGTTGGCCTCAGTGGCCACGTAACGCAGACAAAGCTGACCGCGCTGCTGCAGCTCTCGAGCAAGGAAGTACCGCAGGGCAATGTGCTTTGTTCTGTGCTCCAGTCTGTGGTCCTCACACAAGGCAATGGCAGCCTGGTTGTCGACGTACAGCACTGGAGGAGAACGAGGCCGCTCACCCAAGTCGGTCAGCAGGTAGGTCAGCCAGCGTAGCTCCTGGGCAGCCATGGCTGCGGCGTAGATCTCAGCCTCACAACTGGAGCTGAGAACAGAAGAAGAGCGTGTAGAACGCCAAGAAACTGAGCCGGAGCCAAGGCTGAAGGTGTAACCCTGAGACGACCGCTGAGTAGCCTGGTCGTCCGCCCAAGAAGCGTCTGAGTGCCCAGTGAGAACAACTCGGTCTCGCCCTCCAAGCACTAGCCCCATGCCCGACGTACTGCACAAGTAGCGCAACACCCTCTTAGCGGCATCCATGTGCTCCTTCCGGTGACGGCCAGGAGCGACATAGCGTGCAAGGATGCTAAGAGGGTATGCAAGGTCAGGTCGAGTGCAGGTCATCAGGTACATGAGGCAGCCCACAAGCTCTGGATACGGGCCACTCGGCTCTACGGACTCATCCGAAGGCAGAGCTGAGAGCGAGTGACCGGTAGGCAGAGGAGTGGACTGAGGCGAGGAGTACGTGAAGCGGAAGTGCTGAAGGATCTGCTGCACCATGTGTGACTGAGTCAAGGTGATGGTGCGCCGTGCTCTGTCCCGGGTGATCCGCAAGCCAAGATAGCTTGTCAGTTCACCCAGATCTGTGCACGTGTGTCTCCTCTGCAGCTCCGACTTCACGTGGGCAAGTGCCGCGGTGTCAGCAGTGGCAAAGACCAAGTCGTCGACGTACACGAGGATGTAGAATGGCGGCAGTGAGGTGTCTGTGGGTAAAAACAGTGACGGGTCAGCAGTAGAGGGAGCGAACCCAAGAGCCGCAAGTGTCGTCCTCAGTGTGTCGTGCCACTCACGCGGTGCCTGGCGGAGACCGTAGACCGGCCGCTGGAGCCTCCACTGGGTACCAGGAGGAACCGACCCGGTGAAGCCAGGAGGGCGGCGCAGCCAGATCTCCTCGTGCAGGCTGCCCTGCAAGAAAGCAGTGCTGAAGTCAAGTGAGTGAAGCTCGTAGTCGCGCTGAGCGGCTATGTGCAGCAGCACCCGAAGAGTGGTCATCTTCGGGGTGGGGGAGAAGGTCTGAAAGAAGTCAACTCCCTCTCGCTGACTGAAGCCTCGAGCCACGTAGCGCGCCTTGAAGACAGGAGGAGAACCCGGCGGCCGCTTCACCCTGAAAATCCACATGCCACTGACGATGTTCGCCCCAGGTGGGGGAACCTCGTCGACATAGGTGCGTGTGGACTTCCAGGAAGCCATCTCTGCGTCCATGGCTGTCTGCCACTGAGAGGAGTAGGGACCTGCCATCGCCTCAGCGTAAGTGCGCGGGGTCGGGATGTCTGGTGCATCCGGGTCTCCCTCAGGGGCAACTAGCATGGACACGAGGTGGGGCAAAGCAGCAGCAAAGCACTGGAACTCCTCCTGTCTGTCCTCAAGGACGTCCGTGCCAAGAGCACACTCACCCCCGACGGACGGAGGACAGACAGACTCAGACTCAGACTCGGCAACAAGGCTAGTGGCGTAGTCTAGACGACACCGGGCAGCAAAGTCTATCAACTCAGCGACCAGAGCAGACGCAGCAGAGGACTCAAAGGTAGGGTCAGTGACAACAGTAGCGAGGAGACGGGTGACAGTGGGACTGGCAGCACGACGGGAGTCAGACTCCGGATCAGGAAGAGTAGGCAGAGAGGAAGCAGGAGGAGACGGTAGCGGGACACGCTGAGGAGCAGTGGAGGGACGCAGAGTCATGTAGTGAGTGCCAGGGACAGGAGGAGGACGCTGGCGTGGGACACGACGACCAGTGCGAGCAGTACGAACAGGCGACGCAGGACGAGACTCAGGCTCACGACGCTCTGTAAGACCTCCTGTGGGACCAGTGTAAGGAGAGGGAGCAGGGAGAGGCGAGGCAGGCGGGAACTGTGACTGCGACTGGACAGGCGGAGGACACTCTACGGAGGGAGGAGGACAAGGAGGAGGAGCCTGACCAAGAACCTGCTGAAGAAGTGGTACGAAGTACGGTCGCGGCCTCGTAGCGTCTCCAGAACCAGCAGAGACACCAGCGGCAGGGTCCTCAGCACCAGCAGCAGCTCCAACGTCCGGGTCTCCAGCACCAGCAGCAGCTCCACCGTCCGGGTCCTCAGCTCCAGCAGTAGCTCCAACGCCCGGGTCCGCAGCACCAGCAGCAGCGCCACCGCTCGGGTCCGCAGCACCAGCAGCAACTCCACCAGCCGGGTCCTCAGCTCCAGCAGTAGCTCCAACGTCCGAGTCCTCAGCACCAGCAGCAGCTCCACCGCCCGGGTCCTCAGCACCAGCAGCAGCGCCACCGCTCGGGTCCTCAGCACCAGCAGCAGCTCCAGCGCCCGGGTCCTCAGCACCAGCAGAAGCTCCAACGCCCGGGTCCTCAGCACCAGCAGCAGCGCCACCCCCAGGGTCCGCAGCACCCGGAGGACCACTCCGAAGACTGCAACGGCGTGTGTACCACTCTCAGATCTGCTGAATGGGGGGGAGCTCCTGGGTAGGAGGGGAAGTACCGGGACGAGCTCCAGCAGCACCTCTCCGGAGGCGGCAGTACTCGAGGTACCTCTCCTGTAGCTGCTGGGAGGAGAGGGCTCCTCCAGGTGTAGCACGCTCAGTCTCAGCACCCCCAGACTCCACACCCCCAGGCTCAGCACCCCCAGACGCAGGACGAGAGTCAACAGCTACCTCGACCGGCTCACCCGGGTCTACCTGGGACACACCTGAGGGAGCGGCACCCTGAGGGGGGAGGGGGTCTGGTACCTCAGCACCTGGAGCGAGGAAGAGAGGCGGGGGGGGGAGCGGGGCAGTGCGGTAGGGGAAGAGGCGGTAGTAGGGGACGGACTCGTCAAAAGTGACGTCCTGAGAGGCCAGGACACGACGCGAGGTGGGGTGGTAGAACTGCCAACCAGGGGCGTCCGGGACAAAGCCAAGGAAGACGCAGGGGACAGCGCGACGGGAGAGCTTGTCCGCGGACGTGTCGCGGACAAAAGCTCGAGATCCCCAGACCCGAAAACGCGACGCATCGCCAGCCTCTCCCGTCCAACGTAGTGTCGGAGAAGTCTCGGGCAAGGAGACACGGGGCCAGAGGTTGAGCTGATGCGCAGCGTATCGGACCGCAAACGGCCACAGAAAATGGGGGGCAGCCGCATGACTCAAGGAGGTACGAGCGACCTCCATGACTAGACCAATGCGGCGCTCAGCAACCCCATTCTGCTGTGGAGAGTCCGGAAGCGTGAACGACTGCTCAATGCCCTCCTGCTGACAGAAGGCCTCCAGGAGGCCAGAGGAAAACTCCCCACCTCTGTCAGAGTGCAGACGCAGGACAGGAAAGTCGGAGCGGAAACGCCTGGTGAGCTGGAGACGAGATCTGCGGATCCAAGGGATCAAGACATCAGGGACGTCACCCTTGGCTCGCAAGGGGAAGACCGTGGTGTAGCGCGAGAAGTCGTCAACAACTAGCAGGAAGTACCGCTCCTGACCCTGTCCACGGACGCGGGCTGGGCCCCACACGTCCAAGTGGAGCGTCTGCAAGGGAGCAGTCGTCGGGGGAAAGGAGGAGGAGTGAGGAGCGGCGCGCTGCCGCCCCTCGACACAGGGAATACAGGGAGGAGCAGGCGAGTCGGGAAGGGGAGGGAGCACCCTGGGAAGACCAGCAACAAGGTACCGTTTGTGCATGGCCCGAAGGCGCTGCACAGACGGGTGACCAAGGCGGTGGTGCCAGAGGATAGTCTCATGCGCCAGAGAGCGACACGAGCAGGGGGCGGACAGCTGACCTGACGCAGACGCAGACGTAGACGCAGACGCAGCTACCTGAGGGGACTCAGTGGTCAGTGTGTACAGGTCCGACCCCGGCTCTCGAGTGAAAGTAGCCAGGTGGCGACCCGTCCGAGCACACGTGCAGTGTGTCACGCGCTCGTAGGCAGGGGTGAACTGGTGAACACCCGAGTCCTGGAGCGCACAACCCGCCACCAAGTTCGTAGAGAACGAGGGGAGGTAGAGACCTGAAAGCGTGCCGGACGGGACCGCAGGACAAGGAAGAACAGTGGAGGAGGTCGCAATGACCGGACCCCCAGAGGGGTCAGCAAGGGAGACAGCAACTGGCCGAGCGAGTGGCTCAAGGACAGTGCGGTCACGAAAGAAAGAGCGAGAGGCACCTGAGTCCAGTGTGAAGGTGTGCAGTGCTGCAGTCAACTCAGTACCAGGGGGCACAGACGCACTAGCACCTAGGGCAGCAGCCTCACCAGGACCTGTGGGAGCGGACGCACTAGCACCTAGAGCGGCAGCCGGACTGGCCTGAATGCCCGGGTCGGGCGGAACACGCAAGTACTGAGCACCCTCTCCACTAATAGACATGGCATACATGGCAGTGAGAATAGCATCAAAGTCTAGAGCCCAAATATCGACACCCCTCTTTTCCAGATCAGCCCAGCGCGGCAGCTCAGCGGCATCAGGAAACTGGGTGCGCCACGCGTCGTTAAGGCGCGCGAAGCAGCGCTGCGTGGGGTGCGGCCTCCCACACTGCTGGCCGCTGCGGTCACCTGTGCGAATGACGTACGTGCAGGTAAAGCCACGCTGCGCATACCACTCACGGGCGGCCTGAAGCGTCGGGGCGGGCTGCTGACTCGGGCCTCCGCCAGTGCCTCCACGACCACCACCGCCACCACCACCGCCTCGGCCACCTCCACCCCTGCCGCCGCCACGACCACCTCCACCTCCGCTGCCGCCTCCACCCCTGCCACCGCTCCCGCCGCTGCTGTCTCCTCCCCCACTGCCGCCACTAGCCTCCCCAGTCGCGCCTCCACTCCCACCGCCTCCACCCCCACCTCCTCCGCCACCACCCCCACCCCTGCCTCCCTTGCTCCTGCGGCGCCCGCTCGAAGCAGACGCGGTCCCGACCTTCTCAGCACCAAGGAGGTCGACAGCAGCAGCAGAGGCGACAGAGGGGAGGAGGGGGGAAGGGGAACACCCCTCGAAGAACGGGGTGCGGGGGTCGCCACGAGAGGTGCCTACAGCGACGATGCTCGCCTCAGCTGCAAGCAGTTCCTTCTCGAGGAGGGCAACAGTGAGCTCAGTGGGGGAGCGAGAGAGGAAGTGGTCCCTGACTGCGCGCAGAGAGTCAGGGAGGCGGGTGACGATGTGGTAGAGAGTGATCCAGAGCGGGGGGGGGTTGCTAGTGAGAAACTCGGCAGGCATAGCAGCGCGAAAGCGGGCCTCACTAGTCTTAAGGTGGGTGATGAGGTCTGCGACAGTGTGAAAGGAGGCTAGGTCGGGGAACAGGTAGGGGAGAGTGAGGCGGCCTAGCGTAGCAGAAGCGGGTGAGGAGTAACGGGCAACTACAGCGGTGTAGAGGTCCTTAGCAGTCTTGCACTGGCCAAAGTGCTCGCGCTCATCTAACGGCAGGGAGTTGCGGATGGCAAAGCGAGCGTGGGCGTCACGAGTCTGCCACTGTGAGCGGGTAGTGCTGTCAGCATCAGTAGCAGGGGCAGGAGCATGGCCGAGGGCGTGGTCATACAGTGAGATGTCCTCCTTGGCAGTGAGCTGTAGGAAGAGGTGCAGGTCATCAAGCCAGGTGTCAAACTTCACCGGGCGGCCCTCAGCATCGAAAGCTAGTACAGGCGGGGTAGCCATAGTAGCAGTAGGAGTAGCAGTAGCAGTAGCAGTAAGTGAGTCCTAAAAGCAGTGGGCAGCGCGACGGAGGTAGGGCGGCTCGGTCCAGAGAAGTTGCTCAGTGCGGGCGGCGCGGCTCGGTTCTGGCTGCGCGGCTCGGCTCGGACTGGGCGGCTCGGTACGGGCGGCTCGGTTCGGGCGGCCTGTTGCTGGCGGGGCCGCGGCTGTCGCGTGCGGTGCGGGTAGGGGCGGCGGGTAGGGTCGACGGAGCCGCTTTGGGGCGGCGGATAGGGTCGACGGGGCCTCTAAGCGGGGCGCGCGCGGGGTCGACGGGGCCAGCGGGGCCTCTAAGCGGGGCGCGCGTGGGGTCGACGGGGCCAAACGGGGCCGTAAGCGGGGCGCGCGCGGGTCGACGGGGCCAAACGGGGCCACTAAGCGGGGCGCGAAGGGGTCGACGGGGCCAAACGGGGCCGTAAGCGGGGCGCGCGCAGGGTCGACGGGGCTAAACGGGGCCACTAAGCGGGCCGCGGGCGGGTCGACGGGGCCAAACGGGGCCGTAAGCGGGGCGCGCGCGGGTCGACGGGGCTAAACGGGGCCACTAAGCGGGCCGCGGGCGGGTCGACGGGGCCTCTAAGGAGCGACGCGCGGGTCACTAAGGGGCGGCGCGCGGGGTCGACGGGGCCTTAAGGGGCCGTACACGAGGGCGCACGAGGGCGCTGAGGGGGAGGCGCTAACGCGACGCTCCGACAGTAGGGCGCACTGAGGCGCTAGAAGACAGTCAGTAGAGGTGGGCCCGAAAAAAAAACTTAGGTCCTAGCGAAGGACCTGCTCTGAAACCATGTCAGAAGAACTGAACGAGGAATGGTGAACTAGAAAGGATTGTGAGTACAAATATGAAACCCTAATGTTGTGACCCCCCTATAGGCTAACCCACTACAGCCTACACAAACACAACATATATAATGTTTGACACGCATTCAACCTCCGGCAGCAGGTGCATGACATGATGACGCTGGTTCAGCTCCAAACTCTGTGAGGAGCCAGCCGAGGAGCGCTCGTCCCAATCTTCCTGCAGCGTGGGGTCACTCGGTCTAGGCTCCTCCCCAATCATTAGTTTCAGCAAACCGATCTGACGGAAATACAATTGCATTTTCCAGGCCCAATCATCATAGCCCTCACCATTGAACTTCTCGACGGTGAAGTTCTTCAGCACCTCCTTGACAAGCGAGCCCTGGTTTGTTCGCGCTCCCTTTGGCGCTGAAACACCAGAATCTTGGCTGCCGCTACGATCTTGGGCTGAAGATTCACCAGCTCCCGCCGAGGTGTTGCCCGCCATAGCTAACTATAACGAGGATCACTATAACGCAGCTCTGATACCAGCTTGTTGGTGTAAGGGCCTAATAAACTCAAGCTATTAGGACTTAATCAAACTTAAAACCTCTCCTCGGGGTCACCTCCAAGGGTCCCTGGGTGCCTGGTATAAGACCAGCCCCTATCCTCGGGTCCGAGTTTGTAGAGAGAGGGATCAAGAAGGACTTAGTCAAAACAGCAAGAGTACCTTGAACGTCGCGCAGCGTGCCGTGCAGACCGTCGGTCGGATTAAGCTGAGAATTCGCTATATCGAAGCTCGCTCCAAGAGCTTTAAAATGAGCCAAGTTGCCTCGCGAAAAGTTCTGCCATTACTAAGTTATGGCTCGGACGGTGTTTGCCTAGCATTAGAGTGCTAGCGTACTAGCGTTGACTCGGGTAGCATTCCGCCAACGAACCGCGTAGAAACGAAATTCCAGCGAGGAAGGAATTCGCATGAATCAATTTTACTATGTTCAGGTACAAACAGAGAAGGATTAAATAGTTCTAGCTAGCAAGGACATTGGGAATCAACCTGGGAACAACCAGGGATGATCCCAAATAATTCCAAGCAACAGAACCAACCTGGCTGGACAAAATAGTAGGTGGTAGGTTGGTAAACAACCTCTGGTTCTGTTTTTCCAACCTGGGAAAACAACAACCAGGTTCAGGTTCAGGTTCAGTGTGATGTCAATGAGATAGCACACTGCTATTAGGCAGCCGTTCCTGAGCCTAAGACGCTATCTGAGGCGTTGAGCGTACCTCAGAATTTGCTATATCGAAGCTCGCTCCAAGAGCTTAAAAAAAAACTAAGTTGCCTCGCGAAAAATTCTGCCATTACGAAGTTATGGCTCGGACAGCGTTTGCCTAGCGTTGGAGTGCTAGCATAGTAGCGTTGACTCGGGTAGCATTCTGCCGTCGAATAGCGCAGAAACGAAACTCCAGCGAGGAAGGAGTTCGTTTGAATCAATTGACAGTATTCAGGTACAAACAGAGAAGGAATATATAGTTCTAGCTAGCAAGGACCTTCGGAATCAACCTGGGAACAACCAGGGATGATCCCAAATAATTCCAAGCAACAGAACCAGCCTGGCTGGACAAAATAGCAGGTGGTAGGTTGGTAAACAACCTCTGGTTCTATTTTTCCAACCTGGGAAAACAACAACCAGGTTCAGGTTCTAAAAACAGAACCTGTTTTGTCTTTGCCCAACCAGCCAAATGTTGGTTCCGCTGGTTTCCCCTGGCCCTGTAGCATGCAGATACAGACAAACAACATCCAACTTTCACCTAAATTGTACCCCTATAGTGCCTGCCCTGCTACACTATAGTCAACCGAACAAAACAGTACAATTTCGAGTTAGATAGAACTGAATCTGCGCAATCAATTCAACCAAACCGCAAAGCTTCCATCTTGGGTTCCTTTGCGAGCTCGTCCTTTCTGCTTGCACTGTTCATAGCGCGTACAATGTTGTGTCGAAGCGCACATTGCGCGAGTAACTGCAAATGCATCAAGCGAAAATTGCGAAAGCAAACAAACACACGAACATTCCATTCACACCCAAATGCATTCGCACACACATACTCGTACAAACAGACGGCAGGATGTCGTGCAAAGTGTATTTGCACCTAACAGCTGGTGAGTCTTGATGTAGATCAGATTCACCGTCCCCCTCTTCACCTCCTTACGCAGCCAGTGCCACTTGATACGCATGTGAATGTTCAGCCCATGAAGCACAGCGTTCCTGGCCATCCCCAGAGCGCCCTTGCTATCACAAAACAGCGGCGTAGCAACCTTCTGCTCCTGGCCAATCTCCTCTAACAGCCTCCTTAGCCAAATCACCTCCTTCACCCCATGGAACATCGCCATGTACTCTGATTCTACGGAAGAGAGTGCCGTCTCCGTCTGCTTCTTGGACCTCCAACTAACAGGTCCTCCCCCAACTACGCAGATGTATCCTCCCACAGATGAGGAATCCTCCTTCTCAGAAGCCCAAGTAGCATCAGTAAAGCAAGTTAGAAAGAGCTTGCCTTCTCCAAGCCTCTCCCCCTTCTCTTTCAGCACCTCCACTACTTTTTGCTTCACCTGTGCAGATGCGGAGTATTGAACTCCAATGGTTGGGTGAGAGTTTAGGTACTTCACCACACGCTCAGCTGCATCCACCTGCTCCTCTGATGGATTCTGCACCACCCTAGCCAGCTGCCCAACCGAGAAAGAGATGTCGGGCCTCGTGTGAACCGCTGCATATAAGAGGCTGCCCACCAAGGACTGAAATTGCTGCTGCTCCTCGGCTTCAACCCCTTCATCCTCTGTAGCCTTCACAAGCTTGAACTCTGCTGGCAGGGGAGTTGCAACATTGCGCTCATTCTCAATCCCATACTTCTCCCAGCTCCTTGATGAACTTCTCCTGGTGCAGCTTTAACCACCTGTGATCTGGATCCCTCTCCACGTGCATCTCGAGGTAGTACTTTACCTCCCCAAGGTTCTTGCACTTTAAGTCTTCCATCAGCTACTGCTTCACATTCTGGATCTCCTTCATGCTGCTGCTGAAGAGAAGAATGTCGTCCACATAGACCAGAAACAGCACCAGCTCCTCCCCCTCGCCCTTGAGAAAGAGGCTCTCATCACAGCTGCTGGTCCTGAATCCTATCTCCTCTAAAACAGCTGCCAACTTCTGGTACCAGCAGCGTGGCGCCTGCTTCAAGCCGTAGATAGACTTTTTCAGCTTGCACACCCTGCCCGTACCATCCTCATACCCAGGCGGCTGCGTCATGAACACCTCCTCCTCTAAAATCGCATTGAGAAATGCCGTTGAAATATCCATCTGAATTATGAATTTCCCACTAACAGCTGCATCTGCCAACAAGACACGGAGGGTAGGGGGTTTGGCAGTGGGAGCAAAGATCTCATTAAAGTCCTGCTTCTCCTTCTGTAAAAACCCCTTAACCACAAGCCTACTCTTGTAGATGGTGACCTGCCCCTTGTCATCGGTCTTGATCCTCAGCACCCACTTGCATTGTATCGCTTTCTTTCCATCAGGCAGCACCACCAGATCCCATGTCCTATTCTGTAGCAGGCTCTGGTACTCAGCATTCCTAGAAGCCAGCCACTTGTCCCTATCTGGTCCAGCTAGTGCCTCCTCCATGCTAGCTGGTTCCTCTGGTGCAGGGGCAAGAAAACAGTATGCAGGCTCGTCCTCCTCATCAGGGTCATACCGTTGAGGCAAAATCAGTAATGCCTCCTCATTCCCAAGCTGCTGCTCTGCTACATCAGCTCCTCCAGTCAGCTTCATTGTTTCCATGCAGGTATGTCCTGGCCTAGAAACGGGTGTCTCCCATCCCTTCATAACGACACCCTTCAGCTTCCTCCTTTGTGGTAGCTTAGGCACCTTAGCTTTGCCCTGCTGGTGCTCTCCTCCCTCAGATCCAGTAGCTTCCCTGGTGCTACCACTAGTCTCCACATCATCTCCTCCACCAGCAGGTGCCTCCTGCACCTTCTCTCCATCACCACCATCTGCAGCTGCCTCCTCTCCCTCCTCCCACACACTAGGAGTCAGGTCCAGCTGCATGGTGATCTGCTCCATCTGCTGGGACACCCTGGCTTTCGGCTGTTTCTCCCACCTCCCATATATCATGCCTTCAACAAACTTCACATCCAACACACCCTTGGATGGTTC